TATGACATTTTCATCTGGAAACCAGAATCAATTTCCCTGGGTTGTTGAGAGGATGAGTAGAAGCCGTTCATACTACTATTTTCTTTCAACTCTGGTCAGTGGCCATAAAAGCAGCGTTCCTAGTCTCCTTCACAACTATATCCCCAGAGCACAGCTCAGTATTTAGCACACAGTAGGGGGTCAATGAGTATCTGCTGAGTGAATGGACTATAAGAGGATCATTTAAGAGTATCAAATTTATATTTCCATCTCAAACCTCTCCTTTGAGCCCCAGACTAACAAATCCAACTACCTGCTTTGCATTTTTACCTGAGTGGCTTGCAAGCATCCTAAATTTTTAAAAAAGATTTTATTTATTTGTCAGAGAGACAGAGCATGCAGGAGTGACCATTACAAGGAGGGGGAGTGGCAGGCAGAGGGAGAAGCAGGCTCCCTGGTGAGCAAGGCACCTGATGCGGCACTTGAACCCAGGACCCTGGGATCATAACCTGAGGTGAAGGCAGACACTTAACAGACTGAGCCACCCATGCATCCTGCATCTTAAATTTTAACAAATTCAAACTGCCCCCAAACCTTTTCTTCCTCAGGCTCTTCCATCTCAGTAACTGATAAAACCATTAAAGTCAGACACCTGGGGGCGCCTGGGTGGTTCAGTCATTAAGACTGCTCAGTCGTGATCCCAGAGTCTTGGGATCCTGTCCCGCCTCGGTCTCCCTGCTCGGTGGGAAGCCTGCTTCTCCCTCTCCCACTCCCCCTGCTTGTGTTCCCTCTCTTGAAGTATCTCTGTCAAATAAATAAAATCTTTTTTTTTAAAAGATTATTTATTTATTTATTTGACAGACAGAGATCACAAGTAGGCAGAGAGGCAGGCAGAGAGAGAGGAGGAAGCAGGCTCCCCCCGGAGCAGAGAGCCCGATGCGGGGCTCGATCCCAGGACCCTGGGATCATGACCTGAGCTGAAGGCAGAGGCTTTAACCCACTGAGCCACCCAGGCGCCCCAAAATCTTTTTTTTTAAGATTTTATTTATTTATTTGACAGACAGAGATCACAAGAGAGAGGTAGGCAGAGATAAAGAGGGGGAAGCAGGCTCCCCACTGAGCAGAGAGCGGGATGCAGGGCTGGATCCTAAGACCCTGAGATCATGACCTGAGCCAAAGGCATAGGCTTAACCCACTGAGCCACCCAGGCGCCCCAATAAATAAAATCTTTTAAAAAAAGGGGGTGCCTGGGTGGCTCAAAGGGTGAAGCCTCTGCCTTGGGCTCAGGTCATGATCTCAGGGTCCTGGGATCCAGCTCCGCATCAGGCTCTCTGCTCAGCAGGGAGCCTGCTTCCCTCTCTCTCTCTGCCTGCCTCTCTGCCTACTTGTGATCTCTCTCTGTCAAAAAAAAAAAACTTAAAAAAAAAAAAAAAAGAATTTGAAAAAAAAAAAAGACACCTGAAAATCATGCCAAAATCTTTCCTGTTTCCACTTCTAAAATAATATGAACTCATCCATTTCTGACTTGCAGCCAGAATGACATTTTAAAAATGCAAATCAGGGGCACCTGGGTGGCGCAGTGGGTTAAGCGGCTGCCTTCTGCTCAGGTCATGATCCCAGGACCCTGGAATCAGCGCCATATCCGGCTCCCTGCTCAGCAGGGAGTCTGCTTCTCCCTCTCCCTCTGCCCCCTGCTTCTCTCTCTCTCACACACTCTCTCTCTCAAATAAATAAAATCTTTAAAATAAATAAAAATGCAAATCATATCAAGACCATTCATTCTGCTTAAACCCTTTCCCTTTTACACTTCGAATAAATCCAACCTCTTTACCTTAGCCTATTAGGCCATCAGCTGTTCTCTGTGACAATCATATTTTATACCATTCTCTCTCTCTCTATACCATCCTTTACGTTGCCCACTACATTCCAACTTCACCAGTCTTTTTCTCAGTTCCTTGAATACTCTGAATTCTTTCCCGCGTGAGGATATGCTGCTTCCTCTGCCTGAAGTTCTGCCTTCCCTTTCGGTTACTGGTTTTCATCCCTCAAGTCTTGGCTTTACAATTCACCTCTCAAAGAGAAATTTTCCTTCACCATCCCAAATAAGTAGTCGTGGTGTATGCCACGTTCGCAGCTTGTTAATAATTGCTTTAGTATCTTGTTTATTGTATTATTTTACTACAGTCTACACGCCCCGAGAGGAAAAAAACCACGCTTATTTTGGTCTTTACTGTACACTCGGCGCCGAGAGCCTGACGGGTATAGCTAGCGCTCAATATTTGTTGAATAGCTGAGTCAGGAATCAAAGAACGAAACTCTGCGGCCGCGCAGAGGCTTGCAGGCCGGGGGTGGAGGGGTGGGGGCGGGACCTCGTTAGAGGCGGAGTCTCCCAACTAGGACCGGGACCGGAAGCCTGGGCGGGGCTTTCCAAGCTGGCGCTCACGCCTCGGGGCGGGGCTAACCGGGCAGCGAATTCGCTGTCAGAGTTGGGGCTCGTTTTCCCTCTCCCCTACCAATTTCCTTCCCCAGATCCCTGGCTCACCCGAAGGCACCTCTCCCCACCACTCGGATCCGCTCGTACTTCTCCATCTCGTTTCTCAGAGTCACATTTCCGGAACCCCCCACGCAGACGCAGCGCGTGCGCGGACCCGCCCACCCTGTGGCCGCGCCCCCGACCCTGGAAGATAATTGCGGGGCGGAGCAAGGGAAATTGGTGTGGGTTTCGGCTTTACATCTGTCTTGTGCCGTTTGCACGTCCTTGCAGCCCACTCCCACAGTTCCTTTTTCAGAATCCCAGAAATGGGGTTTTATGGCATTTCTTGGCGCGCTTGGCAGCTAGGACGGTACAAGCCATTCCCTACACACGCGTTCGCATCTGGCCCTCACAAAGCTTTAGACCCGAGGGCTGCTCTTCACAACCAGTGAGGGTGGAAAACGAGGACCAATCTCCCTAACCCACTTCTTTTTCTTTAAGATTGTATTTATTTGAGACAGGGAGAGCAGGAGCGGGCAAAGAAAGGCAGAGGTAGAGGGAAAAGCACATTCCCCGCTGAGCGGGGAGCCCCATGCGGGGCTCTATCCCAGGACCCTGAGATCATGTCCTGAGTGGAAGGCAGACGCTTAACCGACTGAGTCACCCAGGCGCCCATCTCAGCCCACCTCTTTGCTCACCAGTGACACTATTTCAGGAGAGAGCGGATTCTCATTGGCACGTAAATGATAAACTACCAAAACTACGAAGAGCGTCAGCATTATCTCGGTTTGTGGGGCAGGGATCAGGGTTAGTTTCGTGTTTGCCTAGGGAGGGACCGGGGAAACCCCGAGCCGTGCACACTGATTCACCTAGGGAGAAGGAGACTCCAGGCTGTCCCAACAAGTGAGCATCGCCCGCGTCAGCATTCTCATCACACCCCTCCCTCCCCCGCAATTTTGCCGCGGGTAATCCGCCTTCAAGGCTCAACTGTAAGGAGAATCTCCTTGTGGGGAAGATGGGAGGGATGTGGACCACTATGTGAAAGCATCAGAGAGAGGAGGGAGAGCTGTTTGACTGGTGTGGGATCAGGCTTCTGCCCTAAACGTAAGGGGCTGGTTAGTATGATTGTCTAGGGTCTTGGCCGGAGGTGAGTTTAATTCCTGTTGTCTCCCTGTGCCTCCTGCTCTGTTCGAGCTCCATAAAAGCTAAGTTAAGGAGCAAGAGGATGGTGATTAGCTAAGAGTCAGCGTCCCTGTTTCTGAGTGAGTGAGGAATGTGAGGAAAGGAGTGTTTATGTTCTGTCTCGCCCCACCCCTCAAAAGAGACTCAAACCTGTCCACGTGTAAAGACCACGAGAGGGGCCCCACGAGGGGCCCTCGGTGGCTGGCTCAGGCTGCTGTTGGCTGATGAACAAAGCTGCCCTGGGAGCAAAGGGAAGCGCAGAGGGGAAAAGCCGCACAACCCGGGACACTCGTACCCTCACCTAGAAACCAGTCGGGCCGTGGTTGACCCCGGAGCCCCACAGGCGTTAATATGTAACATTGGAGCCAGCAAGGGAGGCAGAGCAAACACCCAAACCTCTTGGTCCCTGGGTCTCCGGCGCCTAAGGCTTCTAGCTTTCCCTCCCTCTCGCAGAATCTCTTCCCTAGCCCCCCACCTTCCTACTTACCACCCCCTCCCCCAGCACTCGTTTTCAGCCTTTCCTCTGTTTGCGCCTCACTTGCCTGGAGGCGGGAAGGGGATCCCGCGCCAAGGTGGGGATAGGATGACACCTAGTGACCACGAGCTGCAACTGCTCCAGTCCACTGTCCTGAAGACTAAGGGTCACCCCAGCAGCCCGGTCTTCCTCGTGCCAGCCTCCAGGGAGCCGGGAGAAGAGCCGGGATTGTCTAAGGGAGGACTGTGACAGCCGGTCGACCTCAGGAGCCCAAGAGCGGGCTGGGAAGAAGGGTGATGGATTAGTCGACCCCTCCTAGACACCGAGTCGATGCGGGGCGCCACAGATGCTGATAAACATGTCCGTCTCTGGCCCAAAGAAGCTAAAGATCCGGTGAAAAAAAAAAAACAATATAGGCGGAGACCATTATCGAGGCTCGGCTCGGACCCCTCCCCAGGACCAGGGCTTAAAGGACGCGGGTGTGTGACGGGCCCCGCCCCGCTCTGCTCAGAAAGGAGTTGAGGGCGGAGAGTTCGTTCTCTCAGTACCCGCCGAGGCGGGGGAGCCGGTAGCCCCCGGAAAAGTGGGGACGCAGGTTAATGAGGCCAAGCGACCGAGGCGGGACTCCGTCGGCCGTCGGGAGGCGCCAGCGAGGGGTGCCGCGGCGTCGCCGCCCCCCAGGACAGCCCCTTTTTCGCCCGAGGTCCGCGGAAGCCAGGCGGGGCGCGGAGGCCCCGGGAAAATGGTGCTCTGGCCCTCGGTGCCGCGCGCGGCGCCGGAGGGGCGGGGGCAAGCGGCCGGGGTGGGGCGGGGCGGGGCGGGGCGGGGCGGGGGCGGCTGGGGGCGGGGGCGGGGGCGGGGGCGGCTGGGGGCGGGGGCAGAGGCCGGCGGGGAGGGGACTGGAGGAACTAGGGGCCTAGAGGGCTCCGCGAAAACTGCGAGGCTGGCGGCTGGCGTGCACTGGCCCGAGAGGAGCTCGGTTCGCGGAGCAGTCGGAGGAGGCAGCTTAGGGGGCAGACAGACGGACGGCAGGGAGGGCCAGCATGCCCCCACTGCTGCACCCCGCCCTGCCGCTGCTCCTGGGCGCCACGCTGACCTTCCGGGCCCTCCGGCGCGCGCTCAGCCGCCTGCCCCTGCCGGAGCACGTGCGCGCCGACCCCCTGCGCACCTGGCGCTGGCACAACCTGCTGGTCTCCTTCGCCCACTCCATTGTGTCCGGGGTCTGGGCAGTGCTGTGGTGAGTGAAGGACTGGGGGTGTGAGGGTGGGTGGTTGGGGGATCCCACGTTACTCTCCGCATCACCCTCTGGCAGGCTCAGGCCATGCAGTCTCACCTGATTCACTCTTCAGAAAGCTCTCCAACTAGGAGCGGCAGAGGTCCCAGGGGAGGGGGAATGCTTATCTGGGAACCGGGAGACACCTGGGTTTCAGCCAAGCCTCTCCACTTCCCACAAAGCCAATAGCGCGAGCCCGGATTCCCCGGGGACTGGGAGGGGGAATGGGGGAGTAGAGGGTCCTTGGGGATGCGGAGATGATGAGAGCCTGCCTTCTTCCCTCCCAGTCTATGGCAGACCCCCGAGATGCTGGTGGAGATTGAGACGGCATGGTCGCTTTCTGGCTATCTGCTCGCTTGCTTCTCTGCAGGTAGGTCTTGCCCAGAAAATACTAAGTAGGTGCGGGGACAGGGCGCTTTTTGTTCAGTTCCTTTCATGACTTCTTTCCATATGACCCGGTAGGGTATTTCATCCACGACACGGTGGACATCGTGATTAGTCGTCAGACACGGGCTTCTTGGGAATACCTCGTTCATCACGTCATGGTAAATGAGAGGCAAGGGTTGGGGTGTAGGCCTGGTGCTAGCAACCTGGTCTCAGCCTTTTCTGAACCTGGGAGGTAAAGACCATCTTTCTTAACCCCATCTCCAACCAATGTCAGGACACTGAAGACTGGAAGTATCCGTGCCCTTGGTGAATTCACTTGAGGCCAGTAATCCATGGTCTTACCTATTACCTCCTTTGACAAATTAGAAACCCCACTCAGAGCCAGAATCTGTGGACAGGGATCAAAATTTAATCATGTTGAATCCACCACAGACTATAACCCAGAACGATGCCAGCAAGAATGGATTTCCCAACCATTAATCTGGTAGCCTTGATATGCCCACCAATTTTCAGAAAAGCCATGGTATTTGGATCCCCTAACATATCTCCCTTGCGTTCTAGGCCCTGGGTGCCTTCTTTGCAGGCATCTTCTGGAACAGTTTTGTTGGTGGGGGAGTCCTAACATTGCTGGTGGAGGTCAGCAACATATTCCTCACCATCCGCATGATGATGAAGATCAACAATGCCCAGCACCTCCTCCTGTACCGGGTCAACAAGTATGTCAACTTGGTCATGTACTTTCTCTTCCGCCTGGCCCCTCAGGCCTACCTCACCCACTTCTTCCTGCGTTATTTGGGTCAGAGGACCCTGGGCACCTTTCTGCTGGGTAACCTGCTCATGCTGGATATCATGATCCTCATCTACTTTTCCCGCCTCCTCCGCTCAGACTTCTGCCCTGGACTTGTCCCCAGCCAACACAAAGACAAGTTTTTGACAGAGTGAGAGGCCTGCAACTTGTGGCAAGAAGAGCAAACACAGCCAAGAACAGCCTCACCATATAAGAGAATTAGCCCCAAGTCTGGGGCATCCTCTGAGCACAGGCTCTGCACCTACTATTGAAAATGCTAATGAAAGCACTCCTCTGAAGTCCTTGTCCTTTCTTGGGCAAGGGGTGAGGGAAGCAGACAGACCGGTTGGACATGGTAGTTGGGTGTGGGGACAGGTGCTGTAGAAGCCAGCTAGTCCACACTGCCCTGAAGTGGATGCCAATGAGAACTCTGTACACTGGTTTCCTACAAAGCCCCTTCCAGATAAAAGGAGGGATTCTTGTTTGCCATCATCACGGGGTTAAGACAACAAATTTTCGTTGTCCGAAGCCCAATCTGGGTCACAAATACCTGAGCTCCCACTGCCAGGATTAACAAGTGTGGTGAGGTACTATGGCAGAGTGTTCCAAGAGGGTAAGTAGACCAAAGTCTTGCCCTGTTAATTTAAGTGTGTGTAACCCCAGTATGGCCTCCCCAAAGCCCAGCCAACAAATCAACAGACAAACATGTATCATGAAAAAACTGTATTTCGATTTAGCCAGCTGGACTCAGTTTAGATGATCCCAATCTGAAAAACAAAAGGGGAGCTTTGTTACTGGGAGTTGAAATGTGAAGATTAAGCTGGAAAGTCACGGTTAAAAATCAAATTGAGGTGAGGGTAGGGCCCATTCAGGATAGGAGTGCAGTGAGTTAAGCAGCGAAAGTCAGGTTTTGGTCACTAACGGGACACCTCACTTGGACCCAGGTGATGAGTGAGTTCATAGCACAGGTAGCTTACTTTGTTGGCAACATCCAAAGCATCATAGTCAGGGGCCAGCCGAACGTATGCCTTCTTCTCTCCATCAGGCCTAGGATAAAGGAAGTCTTAATTCCTCCCACCCTCACTGCCCCTAAGCCCTCCCTTTTCCCCCTAGTCTTTCTAGGGTATCAGTGCTTCCTTTGTTCCTATCATTCTTTCCCAAATGGTGACTTTTCCATCATTTGCACAGGAGGCTAGGGATGCCACCAAAGCACAAATGAACCCACTTCCCCTTTCTGGGGGAATATCACAGAACATCTTAAGACTAAGTCCAGGTTATCTGACATAAATTACATCTTACTCTAGGGCCTGCCTCTATCTAGAAGTGTAGGGATCAAGAAAACACCAACACCATACATTAAGTCCTAGAGGCAGGAGAGCTAATGTGTCCTCAAAAGCCCGTATTAGATACAAAAGACTAGAATTATAGCAGAAGATGCTCATTTCTTAAGGCTTGCAAGCTGTGAAACCTACTTCTGACTCCATGCACGTTTCCTGGCTCCTGAGATCCTACTCACCTGATTAAGGTGTTGACCTTGGCTACATCAATGTCATAGAGCTTCTTCACAGCCTGTTTGATCTGATGCTTGTTGGCCTTGACATCCACAATGAACACAAGTGTGTTGTTGTCTTCTATTTTCTTCATGGCTGACTCAGTAGTCAGGGGGAACTTGATGATGGCATAGTGATCAAGCCTTGGGAAGAAGCAAAATGGTGTCAGCTGGCCTAGGTCAAAGGGAAGGACAGGCCCTCTTTTAGAGCCCAACCCCAGAAGAGCCCAGGTGCATCAGACCATGAAGTAGCAATCATTTCTGTCAGACTTTGGTCGCTAAACAGTGTCATCATCTGCACCCTGAAACTTAGGGACTGGGGGCAGAAACCTGTGCACTTTCTTCCCCTTGAAAGGCTTTAAAAATTTTTTTTATTTGTTAGAACGCACACAAGAGCAAGGTGAGGGGCAGAGGGAGAAGCAAGGAGACTGATGTGGGGCTTGATCCTGGGTCTCTGGGGATCATGACCTGAGTTGAACCAACTGGGCAAAGGGTGTCCCCCCCCCCAAGGACTTTCATCCTTCAGTTTATTTAAGAATCATCTCTGAGTTCCAAACCCCCTTCATTCTTTGACTTCAACATTTTTTTTAAAGATTAAAAAAAAAAAAATTTATTTGACAGAGATCACAAGTAGGCAGAGAGAGGGGAGGAAGCAGGCTCCCCACTGAGCAGAGAGCCCGACGTGGGGCTCGATCCCAGGACCCTGGGATCATGACCTGAGCCGAGGGTAGAGGCTTTAACCCACTGAGCCATCTAGACGCCCCCTCCCAGGCAAGGGGCACCTGGGTGGCTCAGTGGGTTAAACCTCTGCCTCCAGCTCAGGTCGTGGTCTCAGGGTCCTGGGATCTATCAAGGCCAGTGTCAGGCTCTCTGCTCAGTGGGGAGCCTGCTTCCCGCCCCTCTCTGCCTGCCTCTCTGCCTACTTGTGATCTCTGTCAAATGAATAAATAAAATCTTAAAAAAAAAAAAAAAAAAAAAAAAAAAAAAAAAAA